GTGTATCAGTTTGAGAACAGAAGTTTAATCATATATCCTGGCGAATGTTTCAAACAATACTGATTTTTTATTACGAAATATTTAAATTGTTTCGTTATATTACCGAGGATAAAATGGAAAATATACAAATAAAAATATACATCCATGTAATACATAAAATAATGGTGTAATTTTAATAGAAATTTCAATCGAATCGGCAGTATCTTGCTATCATAATTGGCGAATCGATTGCACTTCCCCCGTATATACTTCCAATAACTTCTAATCTTCCATTCCGCGTGAGAGACGTCAGAAAATTTCGGGAAGCAGCATTTCTCAAAAGATACGTCGAACGAAGTCGAGTGAATTACTGGAGGAATTGGAAAAGCGCGAAGCCGGGAAATGGGATCGACAACCTAGAGAAATACATATTAGGATCGCAGCGAAATATTTTGATATCGAACGAGCGAGAGCTTTATATCTCGCGCGTTGTACGACCCCCGAGGGAGGTGTTACGCGCCGAGTGATAAAGTGAGGTGGAAAAATTATTGCTTACGACGATCGACGACGGCGAAATAATTTCGGTGTGCCTTTTGTGTCTTTTCATTTCCATGGAAACGACGTAGAAAGCATTCGCCGGGATAGCGAACGTTCGACCGACGCGGACGGGCTGTGAGCGCCTTACACGCACGAGTTCCCCGAGCCGCAATCAATAAGAAGTCGGGATTGCTCCAGCGATTGCTTCGGGCTGAATGGTGGTAGAAGGAAGGAAGGAAAGAAGCGGATAGAGAGAGAACGCGCGCCGGCCATGAGGGATATACGCGGGCGGGGTAAAAGAGAAAGAAAACGTTCTGCATCTATCATCGTCGCGTAAATAGGGCGAGGGAAAATAACCGGGCATACACGATATTTCCCACGGTCTCGTATCCGCGGCTGAAACCGAGAGACGAAACTGTCCCAACGTCTCTCGCAATCGCGAACGTATAACGTCGTCGTATTTCAATGGACGAGTGTCTTTTTGTCGTCTATGGATTCATCCGGGTACCTGTGATTCTTTATCGGGTGAATGATACGTTCGCGAAATACGACCGAAAATCTCGAGCGAGAACAATCTCAACGATGGTGGAATTTAAAAGAAATTTTTGATGAATTCCCTAAAATATAGAATAAGCGAGGATTTTCTATAAAAATTTCGTCCAATTGATTTATCGATTTCTTCCTCTATCGAACTGACTATAACTATTTTTCATTGACACGCTCTGTTCCGTTTTAAAGAATGAATTTATGCAAAATTGAAAATTTTTTAGAGATCTCGTAACTCTTCCACATTTTTCTGTCGAAATTTCTCCAAGTACTTGTATCTAATATATTTTGTTATCCTATATAAGTAGCAAATACGTCTTAATACTGTATGTAATCAGGATTCAAATCCAGATTGGGATTATTCGAGTATTATTGACATTAACCGTGCGTTTTAGTCTCAATTTTCGCGTGGAGAATTAACAAGAGGCTAATTTGCACTCGCGATTCAAGTTTTCAGACGAAAATCCGGGTCAAAATTATGAGCCATTCGGGAGCCGTGCAAACTCGTTAAGAGCTAAACGAAACGAGATATCGCGGCGTGCTGCTACGTGCCTTGCACACCCTTCGGACAGATCAACGCGCACCCTTATAAGCCCTGGACGAGGGCGGGCGGACGTGTCGGCGAGGATGTCCGGGAACCGTTTTACGAGGACAAGACCCCAGAGGAGGAATGGAAAAGTTAAACGTTCGCAAACTTTCTTCCGCGCTGCCTCTTTCCCTCTTCCGTCGTTTCCCTCGCGTCGTTTTCATCCGCGCTCCTCGCCGAATGACCGTTCCGTCCTCCGACGTTGCTGTGACAATGACAGTTTTGGGCAGGGTGCTCTTTCACCGTTGCCCCAGCCGAGGAATCGAAGACAAACAGGAGGGATACCGTGGCAGTAAAACCGCGGGACAACCAAGGTGTTTCACGATTTCCAATACATAGCCTTGTGATTCTTGGTTCGACGCTATATCGATCTCTTATCGAAGGAAGGAGCGGGAATCGCCTCGATAGAGTATGCCGGGCCACTAGTCTGCTTTACGACGCAACAATTCCCATTTCGCGTCATAAAAGTTGTTTTCTTTCATAGTGTCGCGAATGCGAATGCGAATTCCAAAGTAGCGACTATGTAACGTGGTTCAGAAGTGGTTATCGGTAAGAGTCGTTATTAATGTTTACGCGTATTCTATCGATCGTCTAGCTGGATACGTTTAAATATATTCCAGTAATACTGTGCTAAGTCGTAAAAGTCAAATTCTATTACTGAAATACACAAATTTATATAGGGAGTTATATACAAATTAATTCTTATTTGTACAGCTCCAATATTTTAGCAAACCTATCCGAAGTTTCGTCACGTGCATGATTATCACATATTTTTTAAATCAAAGTCTCTTTACATGTAATTGTCACTTTGATAATACCGATTAATATCGTGTAAGCAAAACATTTATAAGTAATTCTATTATCATCCAGGCGTTCAAGCGCAGCATTTCAAGACGTTCAACTTGGCCCGGTTTAACCGCAGCTGATATTCTGCTCGCCTTATACGACGTCACGTTCCGTTGACCACTATCCCCGAAGAGTATGCTACGTGCGCATCTAAGCGACCGGTATCTGTGTTGCGCCGAGTATGTATCCTCAACTTTTATCAGCATTCGCGCTTCCGTTTAGTCTCTCGAGGTTCTCGACGGGTAAAAACGCGCAGATTCGAAATCGGATTCAGACTTCAACTTCAATTCGAATGGAAACTAAAGCTCACGTACTCTTAGTAAATACAGAGACTTTTCTCTTGAAATGATAAGACTATGCGAGTTTCAAACTGGAAGCGTACAATTATTGAAAAAAATATCTTGATCAAAGAAATTGTAAAATATTAAAATATTTTATTGCTAATTACATTTCAATATTTATTATAACTTAATATAATTCTTTTCTTTTTTTTATTTATGTAAATGCTCTCATCGTTTATTATAATCTATAGTTGTTACTAACAGTAGTAACCAATTGAGTATTCGAATTAAAAACAGATGCAAATAAATGTTTTTTTATGAAAATCAAAATATCTTTACTCTATAATTTTTATTTAAGAAATTTGAATAAAAAATTAGCAAAAAATAAGCATAAAATGAATAATTTTAAAGAGACATCCAACATTATATATAAAATTAATAAAATCTAAATAATACATATTATATAAAAAAAAATGATCTAAGTATTAACGATTCATATTATAATATTTTTAATATGTTTGTATTGTAATTTACATATTTATATGATATTTGAGTCATTTATAGTGTATCAAACTAATACTTAGAGATAAAATTCGCGGAGAACACAAGAAAGTAATAATATACGTATATTTTTATGACCTTATGGCGCGGTCGGATGTACAGCAAATGATACTGAGAGCTATTACGAAGCTTTAATAACGAATGAAAATGCTTCACATTCTCATCGTTTAATTAATTCCTTCCGGCCGCAATGTGTGACGGTGAAAAAGTATTTAATTACTCTACACATGGTGTGTAAGTTTTATGCAATCGTTAGCCGTATGGCTTCACGTGGCTTCACGTGGTAACATTAAAACATTACGATGGTTATTATTCGGCCATATCCATTAAAAAATATTATCATAATTACAATGTAATGCTAGCCGCAACGGCTTTTATCTGAGAGGACAAATTAATGTAACAAACCAAAATTTTCTGTCTCCCGCTTTTACATTCCATAGGATTTTTGTCACTAAAATGTGATGTGTCTTTTTTCGATTCAAACAAAGATAAATTTGCATTATTACCTCACACCTTAGCATTATTTTTTCTAATAATATTTATTTAGAACAATATAAATTTTAACGAATGTGAAGATACTTTTGTTAAATGAAAGCGATATATTATCGATCTGTAGGTTATTTCTTTATGCAATTCTTAAAGCTTAAAATTCATTATAAAAATATTTCTGCGCTTTACTTGTTTAATATAACAAAATACTATTAGCAAAACTTTTCCAATTAAAGCTAAGGGCTGAACGACAGATTGTAATTCCAATAAATCTATAAAGGGCATTTGGCATTTGCTTTGAATTTTGCTTTGCTGCATTTTAGTTGCTTGTGAGATAACTTTATACTTGAACGTGTTTAAATTTGGAGCATTTAACTATTTAATCTATTCGATGCGATGTAGTTATGATATACGTAATTATAATGTAATTCATTAAGAGTTTTAGATATTTCTGTCAAATGTATGCCCTTTAATTCTTCACTCGACTCGCGCGTTTCATAATGGAGTATCTTATTTGACCCGCTGAACCGCGTACGTACCGTAACAAACTTCGTGTACACAAGTGTACGTGAAATGTAAATGCACAAATTATACCATTTGAGTATGGCTCCAGTTTATTTGTTTTGCCGAAATGTAACTACATTAAACGGATTAAAGGAATGCATTAACTCCACGCGACGTTTTGCTATACTCCTCAGCAGGTCGTCAAAAGTTTAAGCCGATAATTAATGTGTTACCACCGTAACACGGTTACACCGTAACACGGTTAATTCAATGTCGACTGTTATAATTAAATTTAGAACCAGATAGCGGGCAAGGTAGTTAGCCGCAACCTACAATGCAACCGGGTACAATGCGACACGCCGCACAATGTTATGTTCGTCAGATACCAATCGCGGCAACAATGCATCTCGCGCATTATCAACGTCATGTGAATCGCAATTCAATTTGTAACTCGCAGACGCGCACTGTGAACGTCTAATCGGTTTTCAGATAATCTCTATCGCATTTGGTTTGCGCGCTCGCGGACAGGAAAAAAAAAACGTTCCCGCCAGTGCCCAGAGAGACGTACGCGCCGCTGATATACATGAGCAAGCCGAAAGGGGGAAAAACCGCGCAGTGCAAACATCGGGAAACCTGGCAGTCTATTCTGGTAGAGATTTTATCGGACTTACCGGTAACCTTGATGTGATAGGGTAACTGAGCTCGCCACGTGTCCTGCATTTTCCGATCGGGCGCGACGCATCGATACTCCCCGGCTTCCTGGTAGACCACCCGGCTCAGAGCGAGGGGCCCGGGCCCTCCAACCGGATCCATTCCGGGCCCGTGGCCCCAACAGCCGCCGTCGCACTCGAGGGTCACAGCGCCACCGATTTGCACTTCCATCCTTCGGGAATCGGTCGCCTCGCCGTTCAGCGCTTCCGCCTCGGTCTCCATATCTGGATCATCTAAATGCCATTGATTTAAATCTCTCAACGAGTGGCAAACTCGAAATTCGAACTTAAACGTATAGGTCGCATACAGGAGAATAAGACAATGCACGAAAAATAATCCACGTGGACGTAACGCACATCTAAAACAGCACTTTCAGATTTTCCTTCCTAAACATTTTATACTTTGTGAAGATAGTAAAAAATGTGATAAAATACGCGGTAATTCACAATAAAAATATCGTAATATATTTGAAAATCTGGATTTTGTTTGTCACCTAAAAACTTGGCATGCTTTTACATCTGTCGTTACACATATTTTATCTTTTTAGATTCCGCAAGTATACAAATATGAATTTTCCTTGACGACACAAAAAGAAATGTTGAAACGTGTTTCATAATTAGTAGCTCTTGCGAATCCTAAATGTGCCTAAGCGTTTTCACCAAATTCACTTTTTGCTATTATTTTGAATTCCTGATTCGATATCGTTCATCGTCATCGAGGAACTACTCGAGTATCAGAAATCAGCGGCACGTACGAGAGATAAAGTTGAGGCAATATCTCTCTACCCTCACGTGCTTGGTTCGACAAAATCTTTTCCCCACCGCAACGTTGCGTACTGTCGGTTCCAACTTCTACCCTTCCTCATCCCTCTCGTCCTTTTCCGATTCCACCTATGGAATTATACGGTTACGATTGTTTGCTCTCCAGCTAGCGCTATGTCCACAATTGCAAAGAGGGAGAAAGAGAGAGAGAAACAGAAGAGAAGGAGGAGGAGGATGGAGAGGGGGAGGAGAGAGGAAGAGAAGAGGAAATGCGGAGAGAGGGGGCGAGAGAGTAGATGAAGGGGGTTGCTCGTATCTCTGTTCGGGAATTAGAGCCGGACTGCTACAGCGGAATTCGGCTGAGAAAGAGAAAGAAGCGAGGAAGCGGGAATGGGAGGACGTAGCAGTCCTTTGAGTTAGCAAGCTGATCTTCCAGCTCATCCTATAGCAAAACAAAGGGATCAAAGTGGTGCGGATGCGATAGGAGGCTTTCACTTCCTCTCACGCTCGCTCGGCTCCCAACTATACCTCGTTTGTCTTGTAGTTTGTTCGGAATTTTACAGCAAACACCACCGCTGTGGCGCTTTAACAAACAGAGGAAAAGAAAAGGGAGAGAACGAAAGGCTCGGTAATCAGGCCGGTAATTTGACGTTTTTCGTCAGCCAGCATTACTCCCCTCTTCAACAGACTCTCGTTATCTCCAAATTTGATCTGAAGTCTCTTCTTCTACGGTGGTGGCTTGTGATCGTCTTAAATCTTAATGCGATTCGCGTGCGCTAAGGTGATTAAGATTCTCATATACTCGTCCGTCTATGATCGCGTTATCTCTAATTACTTTGATATGCCTTTCGTGTCCCTACTAATTGAATTATGCACATCCAAGATGCTCTGTTGAATCGAATGTTTGAATATTATAAAGTATCACTATTATGGACTTAATAGAGATAATTTTTTTTATATATGATAAATTTTTTTAACGTTAATAAATTAAAAATTATACTTAAGCATGTATTATATAGAATATTACATGAGTATACATGAATATATTATATGAAAATGTAATGTATAAAAAAATTATGTAAGTTCGCATCATCTATACTACACGAGAGTAACAGTCGCGAGAAAAATCTGTTCGGCTGTCGATAGCGCTGGTCTTATCACTCCTGTCCCTTTAAACTACGTCCTATCTGTAGACTGTCTACAAGCCGGCGAAATTAGCGCGTCGGTTTAACCCGCCTTGACGTTATCCGGCGGATAAGTAATCCGGGAGGAGATTCGAACAGGACATAGTAGCAGTGTAATCGATAATTCCCACGAAGGAGGATGGTTGGTTTATAGGTGCTCTCGAGCCATCTAAATTGCGTAGAGATTAGGTGCTCGGAAGCCCGTATCCAGCATCGTCGGTCGAAGGAGCAGACGAGAGATCGGGAGAGAGAGCGCGAGAGAGAAATAGGGAGGGGCAGAAAGAGAAAGAGAGAGATACAGAGAGAGGGGGGGGAATGGGAGTGATAGAGAAGAGTAGAGAACTAGATAGAAGACAAGAGGATGGGGAGAGACGAGGGCCGCAGGTTTGAGATGCAGGGTGCGCATCACCCTCTGGTTATAATGGCAAGATGGAAGGAATGGGGCTAGGTAGGAAATTTGCAAATTTTCACGACGGGGCACGGATAATTTCCGGTTGGCTCGGTGGTTTCCGCCCTTGACAAATGACTGTGGTATCCGGTTATTGGCTGCAGCGACGACCCCCTTCGCATTCCAAATCAGGGAGAATGTCTCTTCGAGCGCTATCAAATGCATAGGGGATAGACAATACATCAGCCAAAAATGCACGTAATTATCTTTCGTAGGCGCTACCGTCGTTTTATACATATTTATAACATTACGTGACATTTAATTTACTAATTTTGAAAAAAGAAATGCATATAGAAAGATAGAAAAACAGCTTGACAGACTGTCAAGAATATAGTCAATACAAACAAAATTTGTCTCTTGCATATAAGAGATCTAAACATATTCTTGATAATCTCAATTTTGTAAAAAAGACTATATTCTGTTAAGTAGCTATTTAAAAAGCAATGCATAAAAGAAAATGTCTACATATCCTTAATTAAATTATTTTGCGATATATCGTCTATTACTTTGTCAACCGTGATAGTTCCATATTACCGGCAAAGGCCTATTATTTTAATTGTAAGATTATAAAAATTAATAATTGAAAGCGTCGTAAAAATCGTAGAAATCTCCATTTAACAAATTAAATTATGAAAACTTTCTCCAAAATTATTTCAAAAGAATACTCTTTCTTTTTTATCAAAGAAGATACATTTATTAACTTGACGTTCCTGTTCGAATCCCGTGCGAGAAATCCTACGCTATTGAAAGCGACAAAGTGGCGTGACAACGATTTACTCACAGCGAACGTTGAGAAAATATCCGATGCTGGTGAAAATGCCGAGCATATGCCGCGTGTAACACTTGTACCAGCCGCTCTCGGCCCGAGTGATTTTTGTGAAGTTCAACCATCCGTCATCGCTCTGCTCCACGGGGGGCGGTCCATTGTCTGAAACACAAGCGGAAAGCTGGTGGATATACGAATTAACGCACTGGAAACAGCACGCACGGTCCGCGGATTTGCGTTAACGTCGTCGCGCAGTTTGCGTCAGCCGAGCGAGTCTCGGCTGCAAGCGACTTCTCTCGTTGTTCATGATTTCGCGACATTTTTCATAGAGACAATTGCCGCACACGCAATTCGATCATTAATTACTTGAAACTACTAGTCATTAATCGTCGAAAAGAAGAAGCGGATCAAAAGTTAAAGTTTAATTAATTCCACAATCTTAATAGATTTAAAATTATTAGATTATTTTTTTCTTGTGTAAATGTGCATAAAATTTGTTTATGAATGTATTGTTTTGGCAGAATATGACATGTGGGTCTTCATTAATGATAGGATGGATTAAAGATGTAGACACAAAAATAATTAGATCGTAAAAATTCTTTTAGATGAGATTATAAATGATGTTAATGATTTTGTCTTACTTATATATTATTATCCAAATTGTTGCGTTTCTAAAATGGCGTGATCCATCCCCTTAGATAATACTATTATATTAATTATGAAATATCATTTTCGTGATTAAATGTTCTTGGATAATTGATTTAAAGTTTTGTATTGGCGAACTGTCTGAGATGAGAGATAGAGGGATAGAAATAAAGAGAAAAAAAAAGAGAAAAGGGGAAAGCTGGTATATGTTTCTCGTTCAACATATTCACAAGATAATTAAAATAATTACGCAATACGGCAATTTAGAGCGCGACATCACTGCAATGGAATTAAAAATGTATTACTGCTGATGCAAGTGCCATGGCTATAATACCAAAAGAAAATAATTGAATTGTGGAGGGCGACCGAAAAGAGGAGTCCAAAAGGACATTCATTCAACTTATTCATAAATGTGGAAATGATTCCGAGAGAGCCGGTATCAATCCCGCTGGCCTTTCTTTTGCCGTTTATCGCCGAAATTTTCATTTAGCTGGAGCCTATTTCTTTCTCCACTATTTCGGCTCTACCATCACCGCTCTCATCCCTTCTCTCCTCTACCATCGACCTCGTTACAGCGAAGCCGCGGATTCGACGCAGCTGTCGGATTGGCTAGTTGAAAGTATACCGCTCTGGCGAATGTGGAACTACTCTGGGGAACAAAGGAAGAGAGAGAAAGAGAGAGAGAGCGTAGTCGCAAGACACACTCACATGAAAGGTGGAGGATTACACAGGAGGCGAGGAATGCAGGAAGATATCGGAGAAAGGACTGGAGGCGAAAGAGAGAAAGAGCGAATTCCATGTATCGCCAGACGGAGTTTTGTGGCGAAACTTTTATATAGGCCAGTCATAATCACGCGGGAAGGGTGGTGGGCTATTCTATTAAAGACACCGCTCGCCTTTAACATTGCCAAGGCATGCTCGATTGTGTTAACGGTACAGTATCCTTGGCGAACTTCGTGAGATGCGGCGCCGTTTCGCATGAAATAGGGCCAGGCCGTGACTTGATCCAAAAAAAAGCATGACATTTCTGTGGTAAGTTCGGCCGGAATTCAGCCAATTTGGCCGGGAAATAAACGAAGCCAACTCGAAGTAAATTGAGATGCAGGACGAAGAATTTTCTGCCAAAATTAAATACATGAAAATTTCTCGCGTGGTAAATTATAAATGTGTTTCGCATACGGGCTTTTATCGGTGTATTAAGGTCCCAATAATTTTCTTCGTTTATTTAAAAAAAAGTCGATGTTTTGAGATATACAATTATGACATAAAATAATAATGATAAATTAATTGAAACATATGGTGATTTCTATTTTCAACGACGAAGATTGATTCTTGTGGCAAAAGCAATTTCATTTTCGCAATTAACCTACGATGTTTCGCAAACTAATCGTTCGAGATAAACAATCTGACACTCTTGGAAAGCAGTAGAATCATATATAGCTTTCAAACAAGACCATTATCGCCCTACAATTTTTCTTGTATTTTTCTTCATAATTGCAAATATGTTGGCAATTATATCTATATCCGTGTGATTCTTTTAAATCTAGTGGCGGAGTTGGTCAGTGCACGAACGCATTTCTCTCGACATGGCGCATCATGTTACAAAGCACGTGTACATGTTTTCGCACCTGTTTTTTAGTAACGGATTAGCGCACCTGTCAAATTACATAAAAAGTGTACACGATTTTCTAAACGCTGTAACGAAAAATTGACACGCAGCGACGTGCAACAAAAACCGATCTTCCATATATATCGCGTATCACAGATACCTGTGTTAAAAAATATTATGATACGTATAGATATGTGTTTAAAAATATTATGATACAGGAATAAACTGCTGATCTGTATAAACTGCAAAGGAAATTTGTTACATAACCGAAATATTAAAAACTGTCCAAAAGGTGCATAAAAAAATATTAAAAAATATAATACCAGTTTTATTTTTCTCCTTAGCAAAAATAATGTTGTCACTCATAAAATGCTAATATTATTAAATAACGTTTAGCTAAAATATCCGGCACGTCGGCAAATAAAAAGAAAGAATACATAATATAGTTGAAGAAATGAAATCCAACATCACACTGAAAGAAAAGATTGGTTGCGTCAACCAATGACGCAGCCAATTCTTGGTTGAAGCAACCAATCTTTTCTTTCAATGCAGTAATAAGTACACTTATAAATTGCCGCAACTGATAATTATTTCTTTAGACAAAAGGATATAAGGACATAAAGCGCGGACTTTACAGTTAATAAAATTACGGACTCGGAACGGTATCCTTGAATTATTCTGAATATATCATTGGAGTTCTGATATCCTCGCTCCACCTCCGAATGATAATCGTATAAAGATCGACTTTCCCTTAAGCGATTTCACGCAGCTGACGCTCCCGTTTCTTCTTGCAAAATGTTCCTGCGTCCAATGTATCGGCATAATAGATCATCCGACAGAACCATGATAAATTATTTTTACGTTTTTACTTCGACCTTTGTTTGAAAGTTTCCCCAACATGCTGCAAGATGTTCGGAGGATACCGCCACGTTGGATACAATCACAAATTACACATCCGGGAATGGCATAGTTTCTGTTGACTTAATTCCTAGCTTAATCGTTTAAACATTCGTTAAGGGAAGTTTACACACGCAATGATTAGTGGCGCCAATCGACTAACGCCAGTAACAATGCAAGTATAAACACTTGATACAAACTGGCGCTAGTAATGTGGCGTTTACTGGCGGTTATTGGCCAAAGCATATAAACTTCAAATTTGAAGTTATATGCTTGCTGTCATTTACTGTGTGTTTAACCCTCCGTAGTCCAACTGGGTCAATTTGACCCGAGCCTCAACTTTACTCGTAAATATCTTGCGCGTAACTTGAAAATTGGCGGGCATGACGCCCTCTAGCTGTAGTTAAAAAAAGTTTTTTTTTTAAACAAATTTTTCGCGAATTTTTTTTATACGTTAAAAATTCCTGAGGCACTTCTTTTTTTATAGCAATCAATTTAGCAATATCGCAAGTGCATTTGAGAATTTTTTCAACACGATCGGTGGATAAATGGTCAAATGGCGAACGATCAAAGTTCGTCTCGGGTCAAAATGACCCAGAGTGACTTCCTTGTTTGAAAAAATAGGTGCGACTACGGAGGGTTAATAAATGTTAAATATTTTCCATATTATACGCCAATCACTGTGTAAACATTTGTGAGTGTGCCAGTCGGTTTCTGGCGCCAATGAATGCCAGTCAGTTGGCGCCACTAATCATTGCGTGTGTAAACTCCCCTTTAGTCTCAAAGCGAATCCCGGCTTTGTGAAGCCATATTGCGAAATCGACTATTTGTTGCAATACGGGAAATCGGGAGAGTCTGAATTTGCCTTACTTGCCTTCCCTATAAAGGCTTTGAACGAGAGGCGAACGTGCTTTCTCGAGAAGGAATGGGACGTTTAATAAGAGTAACCGTACCAAAAAGAAATTGGGAATGGGCGGCAGCGGCGGCAGCGAGTTTGGGGAAAAGGTTCGCGGACGGCGAAGGTATTGCCCGGGGCAGATACGTGCTCCAAAGGATATTAAAGTATTTTAATTGCAGCGGATCTCGCGGAACGGCTGGGAAGGATTTATTCGAAATCACTCGATTGAGTCTATGAATAGGGATTAAGCTTGGCCCCGCCGGCGCGGCGTTGGCTCGGCGCAGCGCGCGCCGTCGCGCCGAGCGAATTCCAGACGTCAGGAGTGGAAGGCAGAAATAATTGAATATTTAATAGGATAACTCACATATAGCCGCTTCCCGTCGCAGCCGCGCGGCGTCATCCGTCACGACGACGGGACGTCGATTTTTCTGTCACGTACCGTGGCTGCCGATTAATTATACAGTCTGCCCGGACGTAATACGAAGACGGGGACGACTTTAATAAATCTAGTTATTTCGTAGCCAGTGCACACAGAAAAAAAAATTATTTCACCGATCCGCGATACATCCTCGCACAAAAGGCTACGATCTCCCCTGCTCACGATTGTAGTAATATTGACACGAGAAAGATATTGTCTGTCGCAAGCAGAAGTGGAGGAGCACACATATATCAAATAAGATCTGCGATCAGAGATATTCGTTGCCGAAGCACATCACACAGAACAAACGACTATATCGGCAACATGAGAGTTTAATTAATTTAACAGCGAGGTCAGAATTATTCTCGAAGAGAAATCAAATTTCAGATATTATTAAATTAAATAAATAATTAATGTCACGAATGTAATACGATTGACAGCCGAGTATTTCATTATCAATCGAAAAAGGCTTTTATTCGGGAAAATTGTTACTACGCGAATAGCTGTATGTGTGAATGTAATATGCAAGTTTAATTTTTAATTAATTAATCTTTGATCATTATGAGTCGTATAGGCAAATTATTATCTTACATTAAAATAGATACACTGAAGAAAGTTGTAGCGTCGCGAATAAAGTTTTGTTCGTCGCGAACTTATACCAAAGATTGACAAATTTATGTTTCACGTACAATGTT